CTCTCTCTAGGCTTATTATTATTTATAGGATTATTGTACGACTATGAATACCTTAAAATGTTAATTAATTTTTAACTGTATTATAGTATAAAGATTATACTTACCTCTTATCTCAATTTTTTCCTATCAAAATTCACATTTCAAAAGACGTAATAATATAAAGATTAAATTAAAAATTTTATTTTTTAAGTGACTATTTGTTATTATCACTTTAACAGTAAATATGTGAAATTTTTCTCGACTATATACTTTGCAATATTACGAGAGATGTTTAAACATTTTTGCGAATAATAGATGACGCTAGAAAGAAAAATTATATAATGTTGGCGCTATAAAAAATGGCATAAAAGTCAGGCAAATAATTTTTTTCTGCCGTCATGTATTCATTCATGAAACTTTGTAAATGTCTCTCGTATTAAAGAATACTTATTCTTTTTAACAAAAATTAACATTTAAAGCAGACCTGTCCAAAACTTAGCTCACAAGTTGAACATTCCACCTTTCCTTTATCTCATTGAAAACTATTGAAATTGAAAATTATTTTGTTATAAATTCATTTGCTATTTTTCTTACACATTGAAGACAGTGATGCATATTACCGCGTTCGACAATCAGTGGTGGAGTGGTGCCAGATTTCGGCTTGCACTATCGCTTGGTAGCGCGTGGTGGGGGAAGAGTGGGGATAGATGCCAATAGCTATAGTTATAGCTGAGTACGTGAACTCATGTCTATAGTTATCAGCAACTACCTCCACTCTTCCCCCGCCACGCGTTACCAAGTAATAGCGCAAGCCAGAGTTCGACTAAAGCACAATAGCGAGATACGTCCGTCCTTTAACTATATACACCTGGACTGCCAGTAGCCAACTTCAGACGTGTCCCCAAGCTGAAAATTAGGCTCCGCCCCGAAACCCAATTTTCTGCGTGAGTGGGGAGCTTTGACTATAGTATATGCACGTTTATGGTGTGCAAGTAACGGTGCACGTCAAAGAATAATTTTTTGGGTGTATAATATAAAAGATCCTGAGCGTGTATAATATAAAAGATCCTGAACATTTTTAACATCGAAAAACATAGTGAAAATATGTATTGTTTTATAAACGGGTGCAAATCATCGAGATATAAACAAAAACATGTCGAAAACAAACCAGTTTTGCCGTTTAAACAACTTACTTGTAAAAGTAAGTTACAATTGGTAAAAAAAACCAGGTTAAAAATAACCTGGTTTTTTTTACCAATGTAAACTGATATTCAGTATATTCCGATTATTACTTAATTTCATGTTCCATGTAATTATTTCCAAAATATGATTTATTATTTTCATTGTGCATATTGACTTGGAATCTATAGTACTGGCAATATTATAAAATTGAGTAAATTGATATTTTTGCAGATTTCCAAAAATTATTTATTATTACCTTTCATTAAATAGTTTTCTCATATATTCATTTATTGCTAAAATTATTATTTTTATTTATTTTCATTGTTTTATATCCCTATTATAAACATACAAATTCTCGTAACAGGTAGCCTAACCTCAAAAACAATACTACATCCCTTTTTCATCCATTTCAGATTTTTTTCTGACTTCTTATCAATTCTCAACCAAATATTTAATGAATTTAAACTTTTCCTATTTGAGAAAGTCTTACTTATAAAAAACATGACAACTTTCGCATTTGAACTTCCGGGTCTTTGGGCTCCAGGGCGGAGCCTAACAGTATTCAGCCAACTTTAGTTTGCGGACAATGAGAGTGTGTATTTCCTATAGCAAAAATGAGGGACTAGCAGTCCAGGTGTATATAGTCAAAGCGTCCGTCCATGATGTAAAAAGACAGGTGTACCATTCCCGTGGATGCGCAGTCGTTTAAAGTAAAGAGCCAATCAGAAATCGCTCAGGATGTCAGAATTCAAGGGGTGATCCCGATTGATCACGGTTCGATTGAACACCACCAGTCACATCGACCAGTGCTTAGGAGCTTTGTAGTCTCAAGCGCTGTGAGTGGCTCGTATCCGATTGAGCTGTGTCCAACTGGGTGCCACCCGAATTCAATATGGCTGCAAAGTGATACACTGCACTGGGGTCTTATTCTTGAGCACATATGAATAATTTTTGCATACAAAAATGACAGTTTCTCGATTGTGATTGATCAATTGTATACGGAATTGCTATTTTCGCATGCAATATTTGTTCAGGAATAAGGCCCCTGCTGTACATTTGCTCCACTTCGCTCTGCACTTCTGGGCATTTCTTATTGGCTCACTATGATCGTCACGTGACATCATATGCGCAATGGTACACCTGTATATTTACAACATGCGTCCGTCCTTCTTGCGTTCGGCAACTTTTGGCCGCATCGAGCGCGAGTGAAACAGGCTCAGTCGTGCTGAGCCGAACGCGGCGTGCTCGGACACTAATATGCATCACACTATTTCTTTCTCTTATGCGGGGTCTACAATAGAAGTCATAGCAGTCGTAGGGTCTTAAGTCGTAGAAAATTGACCAATCATAGTCGATTATTCTTCTCATATTCTACTGTGATTGGTTAATTTTCTACGACTTAAGACTCTACGACTGCTACGACTTCTATTGTAGATCCCGCTTTATATTTTTCGCTCTATATTGACAGTATTTGAACAGTAAAATATTTAATAAATTATTCAACATTGAATGTATCTCTGAATTACGTAGTTGTAGTCATTTAGATGATTTTAAATTTCAATAAAAACAAATAGAAAAAAATAGACGCCAGAAGAGCCAATCACTAGACAGAGCTTTAGGTTTTTTATATTTGTCTCTGCCTTGCTCAATAAGATGATAAAAAGAGAAAAACGTTTTTTATGGTTTGACCGAAATCTTAGAATATATATGAATGAAAGAATTGAGATGATGGAATTATAGCAGCATAAGACACCATTTACTGTGACTATTATTCCCTATCTTAGCTTCAAGTTATGGATGATTTAAAAAAATGTTCGAAATGCCCGCCTTGTGTGTTAATACACAACTACTGTACAGTTTAGCCAATAAAAAATATCGTTTTACCCTTCTTTATTATTTGCTAAACAAAAGTTTGAGTAATTCAAAACGCACTCTAACACGTCTCGACATTATTTAATATGTTAAAAACTGTTAATAAATTTATTGCGAAAAATATTACCTCGGCCGGGACTTGAACCCGGATCTCTTCCGAGAACAAAACCTCGGTGGTCTAATGGCTTAGGACGCTCGTACGGAATACAAGAGATCCGGGTTCAAGTCCCGGCCAAGGTAATATTTTTCGCAATAAATTTATCAGTTTTAATATATTAACATCTTTATAATATATGATGCTTGATGATAACATCAAATTATTAAATTGCTTGTCAATTTAATTCG